TTTTTGTTTGTCTTGTTTTTATTTTTTTAAACTGAATTATAGGAATTATTTATATAGTTTGCATATGAGTCTGGTTATCTCTACATATCTATACATCTATGAATGACTATATATGACATATATGTGTGTGTGCATGTAAAATTTTTATTCTTGTGTGTGGCATTTTTCTTCACTATGAAGTCTTTTGTTGAGTAAAAATATTTTGTTGAGTGTCTATATTATAGGTATTTGTCTTTTATTATATATAGTAAATGCTCTCTCATACTCTGCCACTTGCCTTAAACTATTCATATTTTTCTAACAGTGCAGAAATTTTAATTTTGTGTGATCAAAACTATCCATATCTTCTGGGTCTCATTCAAAAGCTAAATTTAAAGAGTAAAACTCCAGTGGGTAAAAGGTAAAGAGAATAAATTTTAAAGAGATGAGAAAGATGTTATGCTATGAAAAAGAGATAAGTAGAAAGATACAGTAAGTCATTTAAAAAGGAAAAATAAGGGGCCGGGGATTTAGCTCAGTGGTTCCACCACCTGCCTCGCAAGCACAAAGACCCGAGTTTGATCCCCGGTACCAAAAACCAAACAAACAAAAAGGAAAAATAGTATTAAAAAACTGAGTCAGAAAATAGTAAGGAAGACAAGCAAGCTATGGATAATAAGTATGTACACAAATAAGTTAAATTCTAAGATGAAGAGTGGGGCATTAATTATGAACCACTATCCATTTCAATAGCACCAATTTAATTAATGAAGAATTTATTTTATTCTCTTAAATTAACAAAGAAAAAATTTCAAAAATCTGTCTGGAATTAAGGGAAAAGTGAACTAGAAAATAGTATGAATCCCTACATTTATGTTTTTATAGAGGTAAATAGAGTCTGATTGTTTGAGGTTCCATGAAATGACCTTAAAATGGGAAGCCGAGGGACAAAATGTAGGAATGGAAAGGTGTACCATTATATTTAAGTTGCCCAATGTCTTCTCCCTTCATAGTTACTACAAATGAATAATGCATGTTGCCACATGTATGTGAACACACACTTACATCCATATATATACCATATAATTTAAGAAAATAAAATGTTTTAAATGTTTTACTGAAATCAACTTTCTTAAATCTCTGGAAATAAGTGTTAAGGATAATTTTTCTGCTTTTCAATTTAGGAATTCTTCACTCATACGTATCTTCATAATTTTTTTGTTCATAAATTTTTATACAATTTATTTATTTATATGTAACAAACTATATATTGGTTATATAAAATAGCTTATTATATATAGTATAAAAAAGGTTGATTATATTTTCTCAGAGTTTGATGTGATCTATCTACCATTAAACTGCAGTCTACCTGCAGAATTTTCTTATTTCAAAATATTAGCAAGCAATGGTGTTATATTGATTATTGATGAATTTTTTAGTATTTTTATTATAGGAATTTCAACTTGCTCTTTAATCATATCCAGTCTTTTATCATATCCTAATGGTATATGCATGGTTAAATTTTAAACTTACCACAATATTATGCTATCATTATTATTATAACAATAATATACCAGGGATTGAACTCAGGACCTTGCGCTTGTGAGGCAAGCATGGTACCACTGAGCTACATCCCCGGCCCTATGCTATTATTTATAAGAATAGTATAATTTGGTCTTATATTATACTTAATAATCATGCAGACTGATGAAAATAGTGATAATTGCAAATACTTGTTTTACTTTTTCAGATTTCGTGATTCACTGGAAAGTGATGTAATTGTGGTTCATGCCATACAAAGTGACCACAAGATATCCTCCTATAGGCTGGTGAAGCCCTCCAAGTATTCTAAATTAAAACAAACAAGTCAGTCAGACAGAAGACCAAGTAAACTTGACAGGCTTGAAAAAGAGGGACCTGGAAAAAGAGATAGTCTGAAAGATACAGGTAGCTTAAATGAGAAGAAAGCATTGAATCCCTATTTATAAAGATTTATTAAACCTGAATATCTTTATATAGAAGAAAGTTTGGCTGTCTTTGGGTGGCGTGAGATCGATTTTTTGTCTCTCTTTCATTCATGATGGTTTCCTTTAGAATAAATAATCAATGGGACTGCTCAATATGGTTTAGAATGAGATGCCCTGCTTCTTTATGTAATACTTCATATTGCTTTTTTGTTTGATGCTAAAGATGAGAACACTGTGTGGATACTACAGTTTTCTTACTTTCTACTTTCAACTATTCTTAATTCTAGAATTTTCCCAGATGGTAATTTTAAGACAGTACTTCCAGATTTCTATGCCTTATTCCAGAATTAAGGCTAAAATACTGCATTGCATACTACTTTCTAAGAACATACACAAGAACATCATTCCAAGAATGATGAGCTAAGAATATAGGTGTGAAAGTAGTACTTCTCATCCCAGGAAC